ATGTGTCTGTTATGGTACCAGTACCATGCCATTGTTTTTACTATAGCCCCATAGTATAATTTAAGATCTTGCATCATCTCCACCTTCTCTTCCACTATTCAGAGTCTGGATTTCTCCAAGGCTCTGTATGTCCACTATTGTACTTCAGCATTTTCCCATAGGCATGTGCCTCAATGAATAGTTGCTTTCCAATTGTTTTGATTCCAATGCACAGAGAAGCAGGCAAGTGCTGGTTGCTTCTGATTTGCTGTCTTCAAAAGTATTTATTAATTTAATTCAAGTTTTATCATATTCTTTGCCTTTTTCAAAAAAAAAACATGTTCTCAGTTGAAGTGTAGAATCATGTTCTTAACTTTATTGGTCTTAAATTCTCAGATGATCAACAGATTAAAAAAGGCAATAATTTTTTCATTGAGAGTGAGTTTATGTTAAATACACTATGTTCTATTATTTATGTTTAATTCTCACAAAATTGGGAGAAAGATGTAATTATGAAATCCATTTATAGACAAAGATATAATGATTAGAGTAAGTTGATTCTCACACATAATAACTTCCAGAATCAGGATCAAAAGACTTGTCTAGTGCTGATGCCTCATAAATTGTAATCATCTTATGCAATGATATAATTTATTTGTTTTAATTTCTTTTGGATCGAGAGTAAGTTATATTACTTATAGTTGTTTGTTGATATCTTCCTCCTTCCATCCCTCCCTCCCTGTTTTCCTTTCTTCTCTCTTTCTATTGTAGGAAAATCAAAAGTTTTTCTCTACCATCTTAGGATTTTTCTGCTGAGTATGAGAATTAAGTTGACATGGAGATAGACAGGAGAAAAGCATCCACTTTTATATCATACAAATTTTATGCAGAAAAGAAATCTTCATAAAAAAAGAAGACTCAAAGACTCAGAATTGAACATGCATATTTAATTGGGAAAATTAGTATATTGTGAACATATGATAAGGTAAAAGTTTGGGATATGGTTGAGAAGTAACCAGGAGGTTTAATGAGGTTTGTTTATACAAATTTCCTTTAGCCTCAACTCTCCACTCTTGATGTAAGAGTGTTACTTTTCCTTCTGGTATAGAAAGAACATTTTTCACATGGGAATCCATTTGACCCAGGATATTTCTTCTTGCATCTTCTACTTTTCAGATTCTTTAATTTAATATAATAGGTATGTCAAGTTCTGAGTGTCACCCTCTGAACTCCTTCACTCTCATATCATGTTAAAGGGAAAAAAAGAACAAAGGCATTAGTAATCTGTTGGAAGATTTATAAAAATAAAATGCTAATATTCTTCTGGATATCATAGGCTCAACACACACATAAGCATGTGTGTGCATACACACACAAAGAGAATCCAAAGGCAGAATTTGATTCCTTATCCATGGCCTAATAGTTCTTAGAACCTGCTTTTCCATATGCACTCTTTACTAAATTTAGTACTTAAAATCAATTATGTCAGTGTTTAGCAGTTCTGATTTTTGTTTTCCTTGTCATTCTCAAGAATGCTGATGTTCCTTTGAAAATCTTCATGCTCAAGTGTTCATTTGATTAAACAGAGAAGGAAAAGTAAAAAGCAAAACTGATTCACTACAGTGAGTGGAAATAGTTTTTGATTTATTTTATCTGATATTTTTTTCTTTTTTAAGTAATATCAAAATGTTCTAAAACTGTGGCATGTGGAGGGGAATGGACTGCAGTAGGAGAGAAGTGTTTCTACTTTTCTGATGATATCAGAAACTGGACAGCCAGTGACAGAGACTACAGATCACAGGGGTCAAAACCGGCTTAGATTGATACACAAAGGGATATGGTAGGAAAAATTTTAAATAATTTCAAAGATTATGTTTCTGCAAGGAGAGAATAAAAACAATAACAGCTGATATTGTGTGACAATACATGTCAGACAGTGTTCTGAACACAATACTTATAAAAACTCAGGTAATCTTCAACCAGTGCCATGTGCATGCACACACACACACACACAGCACACATGCACAGAGGCATGAGCTGGGATTTGAATGCAGGCAAATTGCCTAGTGATATCATGTCTTAACATCAGTGCCTACTGTGTAGATAGATAAATGTCTTTATTGGATGTTTTTAGATTGCAATATTATTTCTTAGTTACATTTGCCTTCCACCAAAACTTTTCTGGAAATTAGAATTTTAAAAAAATGATTTAGCTCTTAGAGTTTAGGAACTTAGAGGTGAGGATGTGAAGGAGATATGTGCACTTGTAGTAAGTGAATTAATAAATGGAAGAGGTGAGAGAAGGCAGACAGACTTGGACTTTAGGGACACAGTAAGAAATGAGGTTGGTTGGTTTGTAAAGAAAAGCTGACAAAAATGATTAAGGTCCTATAGTAAGGATATTATGGAGGAAACCCTGAAACTCCCACTTAATATCTCCCATTGTAATAAATCATATTTACCCAGGAGTTAGTTTGATCTCAGATTGTATGAGAAAACATATAGCACGAATGGCATTCTTATGATGGGATCTACTCAAAGCAGTTTCCCTCTGAGTTTTTCCTTCTTAACAGTACTGCCACTTTCCTTTACTCCTTTCCCCTTTAATATATTGTGAACATATGATGAGGTAAAAATTTTGGATATGATAGGGAAGTAACCAGGAGGTTTAATGAGGTTTGTTTACACAAATTTCCCTTAGCCTCAACTCTCCACTCATGATGTAAGAGTATTACTTTTCCTTCTGGTATAGAAAGAACACTTTTCACATGGGAATTTCAGGCCCTTCTTCTTTAAATGATGGAAGGGCACCCACACTTAAAACAATATAGAAGCATTGGTTCCTGTCATCCTTCAGGAACAGGCTATACCAGTTCCTGTAGAAACCTTTGAGACCCCTAGCTTGTCATCCAGGTAGTTTTAACATCATTGCAGTTCATGGTCTTCGTCATTCACCTAGTGACTAGAACATATCAACGACTTAGACTTTGAACTTAAAAAGAAAAAAGTCAAATATGCTTTTCTCACAATTTCTGAAGAGGTGGAAATTGCCTTTGAAGATAATTAGAGGCCATGTAGATTATAGAATTTCAATAACACGATTAAAATATAACTTCTTAGACATGTCTAACTGATAGAGTGAAATAAAAATTGTTCTGATAATATTATCTCAAAGATATCTGTGCTGTTTGTGCTAGAAAAAAATGAAGACATCAGAATTTAGAATGTGAATTTTAAAAGGTGAAATGATTTAGTTGAGAAGCATATTCCACAATGTGCTCTAAAATATTAACTAATGGATGACACCTTGTGCTTGTGAAAGGAATTTTTGAAGAAATATTCAGGAACTTCCATGCACTGCATTGGGTTGAGCAGGAAAGTGGGAGAGTCTTGGAAATGGACAAATGGTACCACATTCAATGCTGTGTAAGCTTCAAATTTAGTATGAAAATTTTTATTATTGTGTTCTAGAAAAATTTAAATAATTTGAATGGTGATATTAAAAATAAATCTTTTTTTCTGTGTTAAAGAGACCTTCATATGAAAACTTTCAATCTCCAATCTGACATATGCCTCTTAACAAATCTCATAGTTTTTTAAAAATTCATCCAATGTCCACTATAAGCAATTTACTTATTTGAACTTTAATTTAATTTTAAGTATTTTTAATTTCTGTAACAGTTCCTTGCATGAAAGTTGCCTCCTCACTTATATACCATTTTTCCTAATAACCAGGGGTATAAGACTCTTCTTTCAATCCATGTATTCCTCCCTAATTTTTTAAGTTAGTGCTAGACAGAAAAGTGACAGCCAATTAGACAAATATTGAAAGCTTGGTTATATCATACTTGTTATAAAAAAATTTAAATATCAACAGAGCTAATTAACAAAAACTATATTACATGTGTTCTTTTGGTTCTACTCCCTGTATTTCAACAACACCAAATAACAACACCAAATTTTTATTTTTAGTAAAATAAAAATATTCATTAAATTTATGCCTGGAAGCTACTTTTTTATTTACAGAGATCTTTTGATTTAGCAAACATTCTTTTTCTAAATAGAAAAATGATAGATAACATAGAAGAATGAAAGGAAAAGAAGGAAAGAAGCAAGACAGATAGAGCGGGCAGTAGGAGGAAAAGGAAAGGTAAGAAAAGGGCCAAGCATGGCAGAGCACACCTGTAGTCCCAACTACTTAGGAGTCTGAGGCAGGAGGACTGCAAGTTTGAGGCCAGCCTCAGAAATTTAGCAAGATCTTCAGCAATTTAGCAAGACCCTGTCTCAAAATAAAATTTAAAAGGACTGAGAATGTAGCTCACAGCTAAAGCACCCCTGGATTCAATCCACCAGTCTAAAAACAAACAAAACCAAACGAAAAAACAAAGAAAGAAATGGACATAAACCTGTCTTCATCTGTCTGTACACTTTTTCTCCACATTGTTCTGAATAGAAGTACAGATTATAACTCAAAAAAATACCAAATTCAGTCTTATTTTCTTTTATTGAACCAATTTTTGTGAAAACATATGATATCAGGTAATATATTTTCTGGGAACTTGGTGTTTTTAAATATGTTTCAAATCACTGTGTTCTTAATTTTCTTTTTGATTATAGATGTATATAGCTCCCAAACTGACTTAGATTATTTCCTTTCAGGTTTGAAATAAAAGGGGATGGATTCTTTTTATTCCTGAATGCTGATAGAGTCCATAGTTCCAGGGGATTAATTGATATCAAGTGGATTTGCAGCATACCTAAGTATTTGTAGAGTATAGAAAACTAGAAAATGACTATCTTACTTCTGAGGTAAAGGAAAGAACTAGTTAAGCAGAAATTGTTTTTCATTTATTATGTTTTGAAGCAGACAGCTTTTCAAGTATTAAACAGAAGAAACCAAATTTTATGAATAAATGGAAAATTATACATAGAACCTCATAAATTCATAATACGTAAGTGCCCAATATGTGCAAATTTCAAAATATTTTAACTCTACTACATAAGAGATCAGATCAAAGCAATAATAAATAATTAGATGAACTGTGACTACAATGATGGTTATGAAAAATGAATTTAAAAGTATCTATATTGATAGGCCGACTAAGGATTATAGCTTAATAGTTAAAGAAATTTATGAGCTCTCTACATGTGAATGTTAAAAAAAATACTAACCATACTGTCCTTGGCTTAAATGTTACCAGACAATCACCCATGGATGGGTATTTACTTCAACAATATCCTGAAAACAAGGGAATGCGTACCAGGAAAGATGTTGATTCTGTCTTAGTTTGTTTGGTCTACTATAACAAAATACTTTTACTTTTACTTTTATTTATAAAAATACTTTTATTTCTTATAGTTGTAGAGGCTATAAGTCCAAGATCCAGGCATTCAGATTCAATGTCTGGTAAAGGCTCCCTTTTTGTTTCAGAGTTGTTATCTTCTTGCTGTGTCCTCATGGTTGAAGGGTCAAAGCAGCTCACAAAGACTTCTTTTGTAAAGGTACAAAAAATCCTGTTCATAAGGGCTCCACTCTTATGACATAATTGCCTCCCAATGTTATCACCTCCATATATTATCACAGTAGTGGTTAAATTTTAACTAATGAATTTTGTGGGAACACAAACATTCAGACGATGGTACCTATAAAGAATAAACACTGATAAATGACCAAGATTATATATTAAAATTATAATGCTTAGATTATGAAATGAAAATTAGAATTATAAATATAAGAAGTGACCAAATCATTGACAGGTAAAAAACTTGATCTTCCAACTAATAAAAAGTAAATAAGATGTTAATGACACATTCATGGGCACATCCTAAAACTCAAATTCTGTAGAATATGAAAAAATTATATCAAAACTGCTTTATTACCTTGGTTTAAGTTTAATTTTCTGCCTAGGTAAATGTAATCTGTAAATGCAAAAAGGTAAATGTAGTCTATAAATGCAATGAGTATAGGCAAATAGAGTACAGAAGTAGAGGAAAACAGCATCTAGGATACAGTGTAAATAAATAGGAACACACAGACAAGCCCATTCCTCACATTAATAGAGGGTGACTTCACGACATACTAACAGGTAAAACCTAATTTCCAGATAAGTCCCACCTTTAAATGTTTTGCCAGGCAGTATATGCTAATTTAAATAACTAAGTAATCTTGGCAAATACTATCATGTAATTAAGTATGGGCAAGTTACATTAGAGTACCATGTTGTTACCAAGAAAACTGGAAAAGTACTGGTATGGTGAACTGTTTTAATGTATAAACTATTGGCTCAGTTTAAGTTCCAGTTTTACCTAATTCTATATGTTAGCTTTTATTTTTCTTCTTCATTAATGATTAGCAAGTTAATTTGATTAACTGTTTAGTAATTAAGAGTAACAGTAACTCATTCCCTTTCCCTATTTCTTCTTTGACTCACAGTTATTAGGGCATAAATTTCTGATGGCTTAGAAGGAAATTTCTTGAAGGAATTAATTACCTCTCTTATAGAATGGATAATGAAATATGAATGTGTTTTGAACAAATGAGAGGAAAAATAAGAAACTTTATGTAGAATTTTGTTAGAAAACTGTGAGAGTTAAGACAATTTTCAATTAATCATGTTTATACATAACATTGATGAAAGAAGAATAAATTGTGGAATTATTAAAAGGAAATAAATTGTGTTTCAGCCAGCCTTTTGTTTCTGTGATCAATATACTTAACAAGAACAACTTGGAGAGGGAAATTTACTCAGAATTGTGTCGAGGTTCTGTCCATAATTGGCTAACTTCATAACTCATAACTTCATAACTCTGGGCCCCAGATGAGGCAGAACATCATGGTGGAAAAGCATGGCAGATTAAAGCTGCTCATTTTATAACAGCCAGGAAACAGAGAGAGCTCCACTCACCAGGAAAAAAAAAAATAATTTCAAAGTCATGCAACAAGTGGCCCACTTCCTCCAGCCATAACCTACCAACCACTCAGTTAATCAGTGTCAGTGGATTAATTGACTAATAGGTTAAAACTCTTAGAATCTAATAATTTCACTTCTGAACATTTTTACACAATTAGCTTTGGGGGATACCTCATATCTAAACCCAAACAGAATGCATGAAACTTCAAATAGTCATTCATGCTGATAGCATTTAGCACTTTATTATTAGTTGTAAGTTTGATTTCTTATAACTGATAATAAAGATAGATGAAAGAACAATTAACACAAGGGAAAAGCCAGTGAAGAAAGAAATACATACTTATATCTATGTGCCTAGTCTGCTATTTCACCAAATGCTCAAAAGCAATTATAATTCAAGAACTAGACTATATATGGACAGGAAATGAAGCAGGGTTAGAAGATTAAGTGGAATTATTTTTTAAACAATCAATTGACAAGATTGGAGAATTGTTTTCTTGTTTAAAAATACAACTAATAGAAGCAGAGAATAAAATGGTGGTTTTCAGGAAATGAAGGAATGGAGAGTAAGGAATTATTTCTTAAGGGGCAGAAAGTTTCAGTTATATAAAATGAAGTCAATCTAGCAATATGCTGTATAATCTGCAGTTCACAATACAGTATTGTTCAATTTAAAATATGAAATATCCACTTAGGTTAGAGTAGATCTGAAATGTTTCCAAAAGATCCATGGTGTTAAAGCTTTTGTCCCCATTGTTGGAAGGTGATGGACCCTTCAGGAGGTGGGGCTTACTGAGAGTTCTTCAAGTACTTGGGGCCATTATGGGACCCCAGCCCCTTCCTCTCTTCCTCTTCCTCTGTTTTGGTTCTCTCCTATTAGGTAAGTGGTTTTGCTTCTCTACACATTCCCACCATAATGGATTGCCTTATCCAAAGAAATCAACTAAAATCTCTAACATTTGAGCTGAAATAAACATTTCTTCTTTATGTTGATTATATCAGGCATTCATTATAATGATAGGAAGGTGTCTAACACAATATGTTGAGAATAGATCTCCTGTTAAGTGTTCTAACCAAACAACAACAAAGCAAACAAAAGGCAAGAAGGCACACATGAAAGAATATGCTGACATTTTTGGAGGTGATAGATAAGTTTAGTACCTCAATGTAATGACAACATCACAGGTATATATATATATATATATATCTCCATTCATGGGCTCTCTCTCACCCAGTGAGGAGGTCCATGGAACAGGAACAGAATAGAGGAGAGTGTGGCTGCAGAGTTGCTAATCAAGACCTCCAGAGACCAAGCAGGAAGCAGGTCTGATTTTATTGTGCAGTTACGATGTATATACTCAGGCAGTAGGTAGGCAGATTACAGGCAGCCACCAATGCAGTTTCTGCTAACTGCTCTTGCAGAGACCAATTGAGGAGTGGTCTCTGGAGCAAGCACAGGGACTGCAACACATGGCCTCATGCCCAGGGCTGTGCCTATGGGATAAGTGGCCTGCTGCTCATACGCCTAGCATAAGGGAGTGGCCTGGCACTCAGACGCCCTTACATGGACAGGAAATGCAGTACTCCATGCACTTGTCCCCGACATCTCCTCACTCTGACTGTGTTGCAAGAACTTCAGGCAGCATTGCTGTTTTTTGTTTGGTGGCTTTACATGGTTGCATAAGCATCTCATAACACAAAAAATTATCACTATTATGAACAGTAAGGCCAGGGTTATAGCATCATAAGAATTAGTTAATTCGGCTATCAGGTTTTTCCAATGTTCAGTCAATCCCTGGAAAAAAGAAGATGTTGTCAAGATAGACTCCTTTGTCTTGTTGATTTTGAAAATTGTCTTACTAAGGTTATGCATAGTCATAATATAGTTAGCATCCCAAGCGCCCTTAATATACTGAGAAAAATCAGAGAAGTATAAGGTTACACTGTCAGATTCAGCATATTGGGTGACACAAATATTATGAAGTTCAGAGTCACAAGTGAGCCTTTGCAACATAAACAGAATATCTAATTGTTCCTGGTGGAGGTCTAGTTCTTGCTGAATAACTAAAATAGTGGCTAGGGACAGTTTATTTAAGTAATTTTGAAAGGCAAAGACAAACTGCTTACAGTCTGAGCGGTCTGGATACTCTGAGTGAGTGAAGCAGCTGCAGTGGCTGTGGTGGCGATGGCAGCTACCAGGACAATAATTCCAGTGATGATGAGGCTAACTGCACACCTTGTCTGGTGTGGGATCTCATTCAGAAGATTCTTCATCTCCATGTCCCATGGACTCCTCCACTCTTTGGACAGGTTCACTGGAAGCCAGATTGCTGGGGCCACTCTGAGGATAAATATACATTTAGCTTTCATAGCAGTGGTTAGACAATTTGTGAGCCAGCAGTATATATTGACTATACCAGGGATCTCTGTATGAATGATATTTATGCCATCAGTATCATTGATTATTAGCATGGCAAAAGGTGGCATAACACAAGCTTATGCAAAGTGGGTATGGGTATAATTTGGCACAAAGGCAAAGCCATGGTCAGGGTCTGGACTCAATATAGACCTATTTATCCATCCAGCTGCTGCCCATTTGATGGGTCCTAGAGTTATAGTTAATGCTACCTATAGCCATAGATTCCACCATGGCAAATGCAAGAAACTCTTGCTGCCAACATGCCCAACAACACTTTTTGGAAAGCTCCCCTCAGATAATGATAGCATCTCATGGAATCAATGTGTCACTGCCATACCTTATCTACTTGATAAGAGAAATTTCTCTGGGGAAGAACGACATCTAGGCACCTGGGTCCATTTGAGATAGCAATATTGTCATGATATCCATCATGTCATACTGATTTTCTGCATACTGGTTGGTAACGGCTTGTCCTGTGTAGCAGTTACTGCAGTACCCCATGTTTTTTTTTTTTTTTTTTTTGCCACATCAGTTACATTTCAGGGAACTTCACTTGCCCAGGTGCATAGATGTATATATCTCTATGGCTATTATTTCGAGGAAATTTTTCTAAGTGATATGCACACTTACTGTATATACTTTTTGATATGGTATGGCACTAGAACCAGATAGGTGGGGCAGAATGGGAGATGGATTTATGGGAGTGGGGGGTCTCTGAAAGTACTTCACTATGTAGGTTTGACCTTGAAATTTGTAAATGGTCTATATAATTATAAAAATAAGTTAAACCAAAAAATATGTGATCCCAAAAATAAAATAAAAATTTTTTAAAGAGGAAGAGAACTTTGGGTCCTTAATGGCTGAACTGTAGAAAGAGGAATTATTTCAAGTGGTTTGAAAACAAAGTTGTGCATGTCCAATGAGATATATACTAGAAATAAAAAAGGAACTACATAAATGCTTTAATATGTTTTAAGCAATTAGCATAGCTCTCTCCTTATCAATTCTTCATGTTTGAAACCTTTGATTTCTTCTTTTCTAGATCTTCATAAAATATACAACAGGTTATTATGAACTATAGCCACCTCACTGTGTATTCACAAAAGAAAACACTGTATGTTTATTCTCATGTGTAAGTTTAAAAAAATTATCTGAATGTAGAATAGTGATTATTAGAGACTGAGAAGGGTAGGAGAGAAGGGGGATGAAGGATCACTATTTCTACAGTGATCCTGAAAATGTATGTATAAAGTTTACATATAGCATTCACATATATATGTGAATATGTTTAAATATATACCTATAAATACATATAAATATAATGCACACTGTATTTCATCATATATTAGGACAAAGCAGTTAATAATTTCTTATTCTTTCTAGCAACCAAGAATTTTTGCTTTTGTTTTTTTGTTTTTGATGCTGAGGATCAAACCCAGGATCTTACACATCCTAAGCAAGCATTCCCCCTTAGAGCTGCACCCTGCTGCCTTGTGATTTTCAATATACAAGAAAGAACAAACAAATTTAAAATCATAAAAGTTAGTAAAGCACCATTTATAATCGCAAGCCTCAAATTATCAATCCAATTCTTATGAGATATATCATATTTATCCCAAGCTTTACCAAATATTGGCAAAAGATACAAGACATGATATTAGCTTGTGTCAAGTATCTGGAAGCTAAAGATCTACACAATTTGGCTCAGAGCAATGTCTATGAACTGAATGTGAAAAAGCATAAATAAGATGCTACCTTTTGTGGTCTCTCAGCTTTTAATATCTTGTTCCCAAGACAAAATTGAATGTAGAAAGCAAAGAGAGATTTTTTAAAAAGTGGAAATCTGAAAACAAAAAACACATGAGAAGCAGCAATTAATTTATTATAAATAGGCCTACATATGACTCTAACATGAATCATTGATGAGAGTTATAATAGAAGGCCAGTGGAAAAGGCAAGTTTTTTTAAAAATCTATGCCATTTTTCAAAAATGAAGATGAAATGGACACAACAACCACTACCACTCCCTAAAACCCAGAGAAAATTAATTGCTAGCAAACTTGCTATGCTAGACATACTAAAAATATTCTCTTAAAACAAATCATTGATGCATTACAACTATGTATAATAGTGTGATTCATTGTAATATATTTGTGCATGCACATAACATAATTTGGCCAAATTCATTCCCCAGTATCTCCCCCTTGCCTTCCCTAGTCCCTCACCCCATTCCCTTCCTTTACTTTACTGGTGTCCTTGCTATTTATATGGAATCCACATAAATTTATATGTAATCCCCCCTCCCTTTACTCTAAGTTCTGCATATGAGAGAAAAATAAGACCCCTGACTATCTGACTTTGGCTTATTTCTCATAAGATGCTATTCTCCATTTCCATCCATTTTCCTGCAAATGACATATACTTGCTACTCATGGTTCAGTAAAACTCCAAGGTATGTATATAACACATTTTCTTTATTCATTCATCTGTTGGTGGACACCCAGTCTGGTTTCATAATTTGGCTTTTGTGAGTTGTGCTGCTATAATCACTGTTGTGGCTTTACCATTATACTATGCTGATTTTGGCTCAAGGAATGAAAAACTGGCACATAAGGTGGTTCCATTCTTAGTCTTTTGAGGAATCCCCATGCTGATTCTCCTTTTCATGCTCTTGTTTCCTTTGCTGTCAGAAGCTATTTAATTTGATGCCAATCATTTATGGATCTTTGGTACTATTTTCTGAACTTTATAAATCCTATTGAGAAATTTGTTGTCTATGGTTAAATGTTGGAGTGCTGACCCTCCACTTTCTTTTAGCAGTTGTGAAGTTTCTGGTCTAATTCCTTGGTCTTCAATCCATTTTTATTTGAATTTTTCACAGGATGAGAGGGATCTAGTTTCTTTCTTGTACACATGGATATCCAATTTTCCTAGCACCATTTATTAAAAAACAATCTTTGCTCTAATATATGTTTTTGCACCTTTGTCAAGGATCAGATGACTGTATATGGGTGGTTTTGACTCTATTACTTCTATTCCATTGGTCTACATGGCTGTTTTTATGCAAGTGCCATGCTGTTTTTATTAATATAATATTGTACTATAATTTTAAATTGGTTAATGTGATGCCTTTAACATTTCCCCTTTTGCTAAGAATTGTTTTGGTTATTTTTGAACATATTAAAACACTATATGTATAAATTAATTAATACAATCTCTGTACCACAATATATCACCATTGAAACACTTTGGATTGTGGACAATTTCTAAAAATAATTAATTCTCCATCTATTCCATTATTGTTCAAATAATATCCAAATTCTCACCTTCTTCTTTGTAACAAATTTTAAAATTGCCTGTATATGTTGATTCCCATTTCTCTCCAATTTTCTTTTTTTAATTATTAAATTATTTTTATTTATATATAACAGAAGAATGCATTACAATTCTTATTTCATATAGAGAGCTCAAGTTTTCATATCTCTGGTTGTATACATAGTATACTCACACCAATTCGTGACTTCATTCACATAAAACAGAGCAATAAGAAGGCTGGATGTAGCCTAGTGGTAGAAAGTTGGATTAGCATAAGGCCCTGAATTTGATTCCCAGCATCTAAATTTCAAATTGAAACAAAACAATAAATCAATGATATTAAAAAAAAACCACTATATGTATTCTACATAAGAAACCTTCATTTTGGTTAAAAATAGTTTGAAAGTATAACTTTGTAAAAACAATACCAAGTTAACAGTAATTCTGAGAAAACTGGAGGGCCCTCAACAAATTTAAAACAATTGAATTATATGATGCATGATTATTCCATAGTAGAATAATATTATATATGTAAAAAGGAATTTATCAAAATTTACAAATGTGTAGAAATTTAAACAATTAAGTGACCAGTGCATCACAACAGAAATCATAAGAGAAAAATTGAAAATACTTAGATAAATGAAAAATGAAACAAGCATACCCAGAATTACAGAGTTCCCATAAACACAATTCTGCTACATATATACCTAAAAACAATACATTAAATTAGAAGGCCTCAAATCATAGTCCTATCATTAACCTTAAGAAGCCCCCCCACCCAAAAAAAAGCATGAACTAAACCTAGAGTAAGCAGAAAGAAGGAAAATAAAGACTAGAGTCAAAATAAAAATATAGAGACTAGAAAATAATACATATAATCAATGACACAAAGTTAGTTTCTTGAAATATCAATAAAAGTGATTAAGCTTTAGCTAAACTAACCAAAAACATACAAACACATGAGAGAGAGGAAGGGAGAGACAGAGGACTCAAATTACTAAAAGCATGAATCAAGGAGGGGAATATAACTACCAGCATTACTGAAATAAAAATATTTAAGTTAAATAATATGAAAAACTTCATGTCACAAATTAGATAAATGGTACATATTCTTTGAAAGAGTCTATTATTACTATTTCATTTCTCAAGAATAAACAAACTGTGTTAGAACTATAAAAATAAACAGATTAAATTAGTAGTTAAAATATTACCAGAGAAGAGCCTGGAAATATAAATTCTGTGGCAAATTTTAAGAGAATAAATATGAATTATTCACCAACTCTTCCAAAACATAGAAAATGACAGAACATTTCCCAGTTCATCCCACGCAATCAGCAAGACATAAATACCAATACCATATTTAAAGTCATGCAAGTTAGGAAAACTATAAACCAATATCTCTTATGAATGTAGATGCAAAAATCTTCAACAAATATTAACAAAATAAATCAAGAAATATAATAAAACTATTGTATTCACAAGCAACTAGGTTTTTATCTCAAAATGCAAGGTTGGTTGAACATTTAAAAACTGATTAGTTTAATTAATTCATATGGATAGGCTAAAACATCAAACCACATAATCACCTGGATTGACACAGAAAAGCACATATTATTATTAAAACATATCTATAATTAAAAACAAAAAGAAATAAAAGTAGTCTGCCACCAACAAATGAACTAAACCCCCCTAACTTAATATAGGACATTCAGAAAAAAGCACAGTTAATATCATAGTTAATGCTGAACACTTGTTTTCCTCCCAGTATTATAAAGAAAACAAAAATATCAACTATTACTATTTTTACCCCATATTGAACTGAAATTCTAGTCAGGATATTAGGTTTGAAAAGCATAAAATGTGTCTATCTTATTCCTAGCTGACAGGATCTTGCATGTAAAATACCCTAAGTAGTCCACTAAAAGACCATTAGGAGTATTTTAAAAATTCAACAAGTTTGCAGGATGCAATATCGATATACAAAACTTAAGTGAATTTCTATACACTAGTTTTTTAGTTAGCTTTTGTTCTGTTTTTGGTTTTTGTTGTTGTGTTGTTGCTGTGACTGAAAGATCTGATAAGAACAATGTATGGAGGGAAAATTTATTCTGGCTCCTGATTTTATTTGTCCATGGTCACTGATTCCATAGCTCTGGCCCCCAAATGAGGCAGAGCATCATGACAGAAAGCTGTGGCAAAGGAAAACAACTCAGGAAAGGGCAGCCAGGATGTCCAGAGAGAACTCTGCTTACCAGGAACAAAATATAAACACCAAAGTCACACTTGGGTTTATATTTCCATTCACATCCTATCTGCCAATAATTACCACCCAGTTAATTCATCATTGGATTAACTGACTGATTAGGTTACACCTCTCATAATAGAATCATTTCACCTCTGAAAATTCTTGTATTATCTCATACGTAAGGTTTTGAAGGACATCCCATATCTAAAGCAATACAACTAGCAGTGAATTTTCTCGAAATGAACTTTTACATAATTCAATATACAAAATCATCAAAATTAATAAAATACTTAAGGATAAAATTAACAAAACTCCATGATTTAAATTTTTTTTAAATATCTGAATAAATTAAAAGTCATCTGATGATTGTGGATTGGAAGACTTAAAACCATTAAAATGGAAAGACTCCAAATTTTTCTTAAGATTCAAAATAATTCCTTGAAAAATAAATTCAAAATTCCATTTGTCTTTTCTTCTTCAAGAATTTTACAAGTTTACCTAAAAATTTAAATGGAATTTTGAGGTATTTAGAATTACCAAAACAAATTTACAAAAGAAGAACGAATTTGGAGAACTGCCGCAGTCTGGCTGCAGCAAAATAACCGGGGGGTGACGAACAACTTGTGTACATTGATACAGCAGGAGTGGGAGCCGTTTATTGTAGGACAGGAGGGGTATATATACATTCCACACAGCTTATCTTAATTAACATAAACTAGATACAGCAGTCAACCAATAAGGAATCTCCACACTTAATGGCTCCCTGGTGTTACTTCACAAACCACTCCCTCTGGCAAAATGCCAGGCACCATCTTGACTTGTTTACAGACCCTAACAGAGAACATTTATGGCTAATTGATGTTTTTTTCTTTTTCTTTTTTTCTTTGGGTACTGGGGGGTTGAATCCAGGTGCACTTAGTCACTAAGCCACATTTCCAACCATGTTTTTATATTTTATGTAGAGACAGAGTCTTGCTAAATTGCTTACTGTCACACTAAGTTGCTTTGAACTCCTAATTCTCCTGCCTTAGGCTTCAGAGCCACTGGTATTACAGGCGTGCACCACCACACCCAGCTGGACAATTGATATTTGACAAGGGTACCAAGAGTGTTTAATGAGAAAAGTGTACTATTATGACACATGGCTCTTCAACAACTGGATGTCTACAAGCAAAAACTTAAATTGGTGCAGAGTTTGGCAGTTTCTTTCAAGACTAAACACTCTTTCCATATAATTCAGCAATGATACTACTTGGTATTTACCTCAATGAGTTGAAAACATGTCCACACCAAAGTATGCACATATATGTTCATGACATTTTTTCATAACTGAAACTTGGAAGTATTCAAAATATCCTTTGTTAAGCAAATGGATGGGTGAAATTGGTAATACAGACAATGGAATATTGCTCAACACTAAAAATAAATTAGCTATCAGGAAGGAAAGGCATGGAGGACCCTTAAAATGCATATTGTTAGGTTAAAGAACCCAATCTGGAAATGATATGAACTGAATGATTCCAAACATATAACATTTTGGAAAAGGTAACCCTGTTACCAGAAGTTAGTAGAGAGGGATTTTTAGAGTGGTGAAATTATTCTATATATCCTATAATGGGTGAATATTTATGCATTTGTCAAACCCATAAAACTGTATAACATCAAGAATAAACCAAATATATTGTGCCAGGTGTGGTGGCGTATGCCTGAAGTCCCTGTGACTCTGGAGGCTAAGGCAATAGGATTGCAAGTTGAAAGCTAGCCTTATCAAATTACTGAGTCCCTGAGCAACTTAGGGAGACCCTGTCTCAAAATAAAATATACCAAAAGGGCCCAGGATATGGCTCAGTGGTTAAACACCCTTGGGTTCCATCAAAAAAAATTCTGTCATAAACTATGAATATAAATAGATGAGGTCTAATGATGTGCCAGTGTAAGTTCAATTGTAACAAATGTACTAGTTTGGGTTGAGTTTTTGATAAGGGAACCTATTAATGTGGAGGGGTAGGAAGACTGTGCATATGTATGGGAAATCTGCACCTCCTATTTAATTTTGTAGTACTCTAAAAAGGTAAAGCCAATTTTTAGAAAGTGAATTATATTTTAAACATATATAAATAGTAACAATTTTTATATATTATAAGTTCTTGAAATAAAATATGGTAAAATATTACATAGTCATATTTTCAAATGATTATAGGACCCATTTCCAATAGATTTTACATATTTGTTTCCAATTGTCTAAAAAATTAAGCACTTATTTTTGTTGTCAGGTAACATGCTAGATACTGGGAAATAAAGATATTAAGAAAATTTATATCTACCTCAGAATATTTTATAATAACAGTACAGGCTAAATTCACAGAGAAAAATTCTGTGACTGCAAAGCTTTGTACGCTATTGAAGTTAATTTGATTGGACATGAGGTGCAAAATGACAGGGCAACCATGAAAATTAATATATATTTTTTTAAATTAAGCATTGTTGATTTTTTATGGTAGCAGGAATTCGAATACAAAATTACTTCTAAATTTATTCTATAGCCATAGCCATTATATAATAACCTGTACTTTTGTAATTTAAACTATTATTCCCGTCAGAAAATAAAGATGAATACAGCAGAGACTATGTTACTTTCCCAAGGTCATTCAGAGATAGGAAACATTCTGAAGCTAGAATTGAGAGGTCCCTTGTGGTTTCATTAATGTTTTCCTTTATGCTGGCTTTCCTTAAACTAACAATTATTGCTACTACAGTCTTAGTCTTCAACAGCTACACACAGTTGCAAAATTTGTTCTATAAATCACTAAGTACCTCCTTGCATTAGGCGTACCCCACCCCCCATGTGAGAAATGACCTCTGTAGGGAGGACAATTTAGTAATTTCATTGGTTTAAACAGATAACAGATAATAAAATATATTAGATGATATAATCTTTGAAAGACTTCACATCACACAAACTATAAATTATGTATGAAAATATATTCAAACCATAATGACTGAATATTCACATAAGGTATAAAAGACCATAATTTAAAAAGTGAACTGAAAAATCCCATGTTTCTATTTATATACGTAAATCTTTTATCTTGGTCATATAATCTGCATGGATAGAGAAAACAGCTTTTCTTTTGATGCTGAGAGTTAAAGACTGCTTTTCCTAAAACAATTTCTATCATACATGCATACGTTCATTCATCCATCTACTCAACATTAATTTATTACCAAAAAAATGCTTCAGATCTTGGAAGTGCAATAACTTAAGAACAATGCCTTATAAGGAAGAAAAAAAATGTGAAAGACAGGTGATGGAGTTTATCTTTAGATAATCTATGTTTATACATATTTCATAGTAATTTCTATAACTTTGATTTTTGTATTTCCAACATCTTTCAGTTTCTGACCAACTTTTTTTGTTCACTAAGTATTTGACTAATGACTGGATGGGAAAATAAAATTCAGTGAAGGTATTCATTTGGGGAAAGAAAAGTGTTTGCAGGGAGGACAAGAGGAGAGCCCAGCACTTACATTCTCCAAGTAGACTGACTAGTTCATCTCACAATCACACAGAAGCCGCCTCCTCGTTAAGGCCTTACACCAGCACTAGAGGGCGCCAGTACACAAGTGAAACTGAAGATCTGCAAAGAGAGTTCTTGCTGGAGTTTAGAAAGGCAGCTGAAAGGTGACATTGTGCTGGAAATTGACCTGCAGCTCAGATTTGCTCCTAGGCAGTAGTCTCTAATGCAAAATCATTAAATGGTTTGCCTTAACTCGCTGTCCCTGTGGCTTCTATTAACCTAACTCTTCTTGAGGAATGAAAATCAATTTGTCATATTAATTTAACATTTATTAAGTATCTACTTTAACCTAGGCTGAGTGCTCAGTACTGTCACATACTATCTATTAAACATCTCTGCCTTTATTCATCAAGGCTGTTTTATAGTAAAGATAATGAAAAGTTTCTCTCTTAAAATCCATTTTGAGGATTATCTTCCCCTTGAAAACATAATAGTACTAAAATAATATGAATTAAAGCATTTTAAACTTAGAATTTTTTGTATTATTGAATACCCCATTAGATAACCAAATAAACATATCAAGTTTATGACTGAAAATAAATATCTATGCTATCAATTAGTAAATGTGTAAAATTAAAGTCAAGGGCCATTAAGGTGGTAATGAAATTAGAGTTTCTTTTTCTTACCTTTATTATGAAAAGCATATATGCCTGAAATAATATGAAGTAAAAGTCATTATAAATATATTTCCTCCTTTAGATTTCAAACCAAAAGTAACTTAAAAATGAGGTTGGAATACTCTTTTTCCAATCCATTCTGGGAGACCCTATGCCATATCCTCTTCAATGGGCTTTAACATCTCTCAAAACTTCTTTCATTTCTTTGTTTCATTGAGGAGTAAAATGTGGAGTTGATGAATTGTATCTGTTTAGGTATTAACAGTAATAAAAATTAGTATTACCCCAGTGATGAAGCATAGTACTAGCAATGATATATATACTATATCTATATGTATCTATCTATATATATATATGCACACTCATACATATGAATATATATATATATATAAACATACAACTTATATAGATATAGACATGTATAATTTTGATCTGAAGTGTTTCCCAAAGGCCTATGTGTTAAAAGTGTAGTCTCCATTTCTTGGGATTTGGTAGGCTAAGAGATGAGGCCTAGTGAGAGGACATAGGTCAATGGGCTGTATTCTCAAAGGAGAGAGTGGGACCTCTAAGCTCTCCCTATTTTTCACTTTCCAGACATAAGGTGAGTGGCTCTTCTCCATCATGCAGTAAACTGTGATGTGCCACCACAGGCCTAAAACAATAGAACCAATTAACCAGGGACTGAAATCTCCAAAGCTGTGAGCCAGAATAAACTTTTTCTCTTTTAGGTTGGTTGTGAGGGTTATTATTACAGCAATGGAAAGCTAATCAATATTCACACACATTCACAGATATACACAAAGTTAATCTATTGGTAAATATGAAATTTCAATGTAGCCTTATGAAAATAATGTCTATGGAAATTGTCGACTGTAAAATTATATGACCAGGAAGCTACATATTGGCTTCAAATATGTCTAAAGAAAACACCTACAAATTGATGCTACAAATCTAGAAAGCAATATGGAGATTCCTCAGAAAATTAGGAATGGAACCACCATTTGCTCTAGCTCTCCCACTCTTCAGTCTATACCCAAAGGACTTAAAATCAGCATATTATAGTGACATAGCCACACCAATGTTTATAGCAGCTCAATTCACAATAGTTAAACTGTGGAAGCAACCTAGATGCCCTTCAATGGATGAATGGAAAAAGAAACTGTGGTATATATATGCAGAAAAATATTACTAAGTATTAAAAGAGAATAAAATTATGACATTTACAGGTAAATGGATGGAGTTGGAGAATATGATGCTAAGCGAAGTAAGCCAATCCCCACCCCCTAAAAGGCCAAATGTTCTCTCTGATAAGTGAATGTTGATCCATAAGGAAGAGAGATTGGAAAAAAAGAAGGAACTTTGCACAAAGGGAAGGGAGAAGTGGGGAAGGGATATGGGGGCAGGAAAGATGGTGGAATGAGATGAGTATCATTACCCTAGGTACATGTATGACTGCAAACATGGTGCAGAGCTACATCATGTACAACCAGAGGAATGAAAAGTTGTGCTGTAATTGTGTACAATGAATCAAAATGCATTCTGCTGTCATATATACCAAATTAAAATAAATAAATAAAATTTAAAAAGAAAACACCTATGAAAGTTAATACAAGACAGAATTTTATGCATAATTTATATGAGGAGATCATGGTAGAATCAGTGGAAGTTCTAAATGTAGTTAAGATGGTTATTTTATTTTGTTTTTAACAGTACTACTTTTCTGGAAGCCAAAGGAATAACATGTACAAAGGAAAGAAAAAATCAATTGTGTCAAATTCTCCTGAAACTCTGGCCTGAGGAAAATTGAGAAGTGAATATAGAATAAAGAAACAGATCAATAACAACCTTAACAACAACAATAAAAAGTGATTCTGTCACAAATGAAGAGCCAAAGCTCTAAGCCTAAGTTCTTGTGTACTGATAAAAGAAAATTTAGAATCAGACACAAAAATCCAAGCCAGAAAATTTTATTATAAATAAAAGTAAGGCCCCAGTGAAGAACACTCAAGAAAGAAAGTGGTTGTCTCTGCACAGAGAACGACAAAGGAAACTTAATGCTACTTCTATATTTATTATTCTTTGATGTTTGTCAAGAGAACTAGGATCTACCTTCTGCAGTCTTCACCAGATATTTAATTCTTTCTTCACATTTGTGTGGGAGTTTTTGACACTAGTTGGTGCTTTCCAGAATAGTCTTGGTGAATTTCTCCTTTTAAGGGGGAAACTACAAATCAATTCTATGTAAAATAAGTTGTTGGGTTCAATGACCAGGTAAACTTTATTTTACTGCACCTGAGCTACTAAAGGGATTTCCTTTCTGAAACACATTGAGAACCCTATAACCATGAATCTTAACTTTATAATAATCTCAGTTGACCATGTCACTAGTTAATCCCATTGATCTTTTCTCCTCAACATATTTTTTAATCACCTCCCTTTGTTTCCACCTGTTTATTCTCAGGGTTAGTACACCTGCTGTTTTTCTACAAATTACTCAATTATTAATTAGTCTTAAAGGCAATTTAAAGAGAATTCATAACACTGCTCTACTATGGGTTTGCATTCCACTGTTCCTTACTAACAACTACCTAACAATTCTAAGACTTACCCAGAATAATTTCAGCAAAAGGGCCAAGTTTTCTTTCCCCCCAAAGAGAGAACATGGTAGGGACTTCAAGACTCAGATATTAAATAATAATAATAATAACAATAATAATGATATCTTTACAGTCTAAAGTACAATTATCATATGGATCTCAGTTGATTTTTAATCTTTGGATGACCTGATTAGATCTGAATACTAATACTGTCAATAAGTGGTCCTACCTAAAGCCCATGTATGTGCATTGTGTGCCTCCTTATACTATTTCAGTGGCCTATAAAAACACTGCTCTTTGAATTTCCACTATTATTCTACAGAAGAGATAGGAAAAGTCCTGAGGATTTAAAACATGATAATATTTGGCGATTAACTGAATAAGAGGAAGTAATATAATATGAAGGTATCCGAAACTTTCATTGATCAGAATAGACTCTCTGCCAGGATGCCACCAATATCACCTGCCCAGAAAATAGAAAAAAAATGGAGTTTTGATAAACTCAAGCAGGATATATAATGAACCATAGGAAGTGAAATTTTAAGAGAAACCAAGGCATGGTCCCTTTCACAGTGGCTTACAACTAAAGAGGATATGCAGTACCTCAAAGTTAGAAGGTTTCTCTGTCTTGTTAGACTTGATCTGCATATTTACTTCTGCAGTGTCTGATTCTCCCATTGGTACTATTGTTTCTAAAAATAAGAAGTAAAGAAGAATTCTCCTGAATTTGTCAGAGAAATCCTTTCTGACCACCTTTTCCAAATGTAACCACATCTTCTATCTATCACATTGTTTACTATCATATGCACACATTTGATTTATTTATCAATTCAATAAATAAAGTATTGAGTGTCTACTATCTGAAGTTGCTGATGAGATAAAATATGAAAATTCATATTCTCTGATCTCAGTACATTGAACTATTCTTTTCTTTTGAATGACACATTTTATGATTTCTACAAATCTGACAGATTTAATTCAAAATGTTTGTTTCCATGTGTATATTAGAGAGTCAAAACACTCAGTATAAATATTCCCTTTGTTTTACTCAGCTTTTATTGCTGCTGTGACTAAAAGACCCAACCAGAACGATTATAGAGGAGGAAAAGTTTATTTGGGGCCTCATGGTTTTAGTGTTCTCTATCCATAGACAACAGACTCCATTCCTTCAGGATCAAGGTGAGGCTGAACATCATGGTGGAAGAGTGTGTGGCAGAGGAAAGCAGCTAACATCATGATCAGAAAGCAGAGAGAGAGAAGCTCCACTCCTCACTTGCAAACTATATACCCAAAGCCATGTCCACAATGCCCTACCTCCTCCAGCCACACCCTACCAGCTTCCAGTTACCAGTCAGTTAATCCCTATCATAGAATTAATTCACTGATTGGGTTAAGGATCTCACAATCCATTTATTTCTCTTTTGAAGCTTCTTGTATTTTCTCACTCATGAGCTTTTGGGGGATATCTTACATCCAAATCATAACACTTCTAAATGTATGCAAGGATTTGGAGAGGCAGTTGAGATACAAGCTGCTGGAAAATTCTACTTTTTTTTGGAGAATTGTTTGGTTTGCTCCAAGGGAATAAAGATCACAAGTAACACCCAAAGAATAAATAAATCAAAGATGACACTTCATGTTTTTGTTATGAGATGTCTCCACTATTTCTTCACATGGTATTGAAGTCAAGTTCTTTAGCAAAAAGACTACCAGATGATGATTTGAATATAGGATACTAATTAGGATGGAATCTCAAAATCAATACCTGCAGATGATAAACAAAGTGTTGTGCAAATAGTAATGTTGAATGGGGATGTGGTCCTAAGAAAAGCTTTAGCTGATTCTACAGAAAATTCTGAAGAAAAAGTGCCCATCAATTTCATCCTGAGAGAAGAGAAAACACAGGCTAGTCCCAAATAAACTAGCATTTGATTATTGTGCAGCCAGCCTTGAGAGAGAGTGTGACTTCAGGAAGGCAGTCCTCTTTAGCCCATAGCTGCACCAAAAATATTCAACTGAAACTTTTCAGATGCCACACTCAGCAGCAGAGGTAATGATGCAAAGAGGAGACACCCTACTGAATCCATTGCAAATGGAAAACGACTTACTGAATCAAAAGATAGATAATATAGCAATTGAATACATACAGAATAGACATTCACTGGTAAATGGATGGATCTGGAGACTATTTCACTAAGTGAAATAAGCCAATCCCCAAAAATTAAAGGTTGAATGTTCGTTTTGATATGTGGATTCTTACACACAACAAGTGTAGGGGTAGAATAGACATTCAGTGGATTAGACAAAGGGGAATGACAAAGAGGTGTGACAGGAATAGAAAAGACAGTGGAATGCATTAGAAATAACTTTCTTATGTAAATATATGAATACACCACAGTGAATCTTAACATCATGTATATCAACAAGAGTGGGATCCTAATTAGAATAAGATATATTCCATGTTTGTATAATTATATCAAAATAGATTCTACTGTCATGTGTAACTAAAAAGAACAAATATAATAAAACAAAACACTCTTTTTTTCCTTTTTAAAAGTTTTATTGAGGTGTATTTTTTTATTCTGATTTGTTATATATGACAGCAGAATGCATTACAATTCATATTATACATATAGAGCACAATTTTTTC